GACTCATTTTCCCTATATTCTGTCAGAAATACATTGTGTTACAATGGCTTTCCACCAGGAAAGATGTTAAACCAGCAAGTGGAGTCGGGTATAGTGCTATAGAGCAACTAAAATGCTTATTGCAAAATGCACAGACATGAGCAAGCTGAGTAAGTGCAGCTCTGTAGACGGGGAGACGAGGGAGTATATTTCCCACTTCCAGCATGGCGAGAAACTAACATATCTATATACCAGGGGAGAGCTGACCTCATTCACTTACAGTATGATTATAAGACTGAGCCTACCTTAAGTTCATGGATGTCAAATAAATAGATAAAACAGTGTTAAGAGATTTTTAAATGGTTCTTTATTCCCAAGTTTTACGTATATTTTTTCAAGCTCATTTAAAGGAAATACTTTGAATGGAAAAGATGTTGTTGAACTTTTAAAGTTTAATCATTTAAAGTTAACATTGTGTCACCCAAAAATGAAAATATGGTGTTGGAAATGAAAATAAGAAGATCTTTTTAAGGAAACTATAAAAAGGAACTAAATTTGTAACCAATTTGTTTGGGACTGAGAGTGAGAGACAATAAAGGGAAATACTGAGAAACAGACTAAGAAATTTTTGTGTTGTTTTTTGACAAAATAAACAAAATGAAGATAATGATGTTACAGTGATGTCCATAACAGGTATATTATTCCCTTCTTAGTGCTTTTTATGGTTACATAGCATGTTTCATTTAGTAAGATTCACATTAGCCACAACAATGCAGCTGCTATTTTCCCTGGAACATCACTACATTTTGCAGAGTCTGATGCGTTTTGTGACAAAACAACATAACATACAAAATAACATTTCAGCATAATCTAATATGGCATACATTGGCAATAATTAAATTCATTTGATTAACTTCTACAATGATGAGAAACCTGGCAGAAGTATATATTTTTTAAATCCACTTCCACTTATTTCTTGTAAGGGCATATGAATTTCCTTTAGTCAAATAATAATAATACTACTGAGCTGGAAATGAGCAGAATAGGTCCAATTTAAGAGCGGCTTTTTGTTTGTTTGTTTGTTTTGTCTTTTTAAATTATCAAGAGTGAGAATGCAGAAGTTAATGGCAAACCTATTACTCATTTTAGGGTTAAGGACTGAAAAATCTCCATCAATACTAAATATAACCATCTCGACTCACAACTGAAATGCTTTGTTTTATCTAAGACTGCTGGGAAGTACTGGAAAAAAAATTAAAGCAATTTTTGCTCTCTGTAAATCCCTACTGGGT